ATTATCATTATCATTATCATTATCATTATCATTATCATTATCATTATCATTATCATTATCATTATCATTATCATTATCATTATTATTATTATTATTATTATTATTATTATTATTATTATTATTATTATATGTATAAAAAATATGTAATACTTTGGGTATTTATAAATACAGTATAGTATTGATTAATTCACTATACTAGTATACAGGCCACTCCTATGTATCTCACTTAATAGACGATGCACGTCAAAAATCTTTGTTGTATTTTTTCAGATATTTATGCTCGTAAACACAAATTTGAGATTCATTGCCAACTTTACGAGTAATAAAAAAACCGGAAATGCACCGAAAGTTTAGGGCCATCTAACTTTTTTATTTTAAGAGATAGAGAAAACTTATTTTAATAAAATTTCATGGCAAAATTGATATCTTTCACCTTTTGCAAACAAATTTTTGAATTATCGTATGTAATTTGCTGCGCCCTCTACGGGAACAAAAAAAAATTGTCATCGAAACAGCCTGTGCATACAAAAAATTGCTTGTTTTTTTCTCTTTCATGCGATGTACTACATGTCACCTTTATCTTTTATGTTTATTAAACAATTTCCTGTTAACGTAGAAATTGTTATTATAGACACGTCAACAACAAGAAATTTAATAAATATAATGTTCTTTTAAGCAAAATACAGATTTTCTTTTCACATTATTATAATATTGGTTTTTTACTTTAGAGATTTGTTGCCACTGCCTGATTCGATGACGATTTTTTTCCGACAATCCTAAACTTTGTGCATTTTCGGTTTTTTTATGATTACTCAAAGTTGGCTATGGACCTCAAATTTGTTTCTATGAGCATAAAGGCCTGAAGAAATACAACAAAAAATATATAAAGATGGCATAGTGGAAGTCGGCACGACAGACAGATGGAGCCATCCATTGTGTTTTGCGTACTATGTACTTCTGATCGGAAATTTACAACACTATACAGCTGGATCGTTCGTCGGTTGTCCTACCTATGACACACTGATGACGACTAACATGTCCGAAACCGGTCTGTGCATGGTGGGTTAAACTGACGAACGATCCTAGATTCAGTGTTGCGAGCGTAATTCAATAGCGGGGGGGGG